TTAACAAATATATTCGAAAGATTTAGGATTTTGGCGTCTTTCGAGTTTTTGAGCGTTACAGCTAGGTTGATTCCTGTGCTGTCAAGTCTCTTGATGCTATAAAGATAAAATAAAAACATCACAACGTCATAGTAACGCCGTTGTGAATACCCAGTTAATACATGGAATAACGAGCAAGTTGACCTTAATTACAAGATGTTTATTTACTCTTAATTAACTTATGTTAAAGATGAGTGACAGTTACATGCAATAGAACTATCCCAGATACGACGTGACGTTTTCTTAAATTAAACCACAGTTGTTTCTACATACACCGAAGCAAGGAAAATAATGTGTCCCTTTTCAAAGTGATTCCCAATAACACCGTTCGCTCACTTCATTTGACTTGAGCCTCAGTTAACTGTAGTAATGACATGCCTATCAGTTTACTAAGAAATTACTATTAGCCTCGTTCATACACAATTTATCAACCCAGAACATGAACTTTATATATTATGATTAGTTTTGCTGATAGAATACAACCAACAAGTCATCCTTCACTTTCTTGAGACTGGATTATTGACCGGATCAATAATAATGAATCAACTCTTTAAGAATAGAACACAAAAGAAATTGATAAGTACACCGACAAAGATATCATAATATTGCTTGTTTCCTCTCTTTACGTTAACATAAACAAGTCTCAGAAACACCAGAAAAATACCTTGGATGTTAAAAAGAACATTAATTTTTTTTACTGGCAAAACGAATATTGCGGTTACTTTACAAAATAACGAATGTGCTACTGACTTTAGCTTTTTAGTTACTAAACAATATGTAAGTTAGCACTGCAATTGAAAGAATGGCTTTATTTATTTTTTCTCGACTTTAATAAAACGTATCAAATTACTTTTATACGTCAATGTAAAAAACTTTACATAATTAATGTTTTTTAGTTGTTGTTTAGCACAAAGTTACACAATGGGCTATCTGTACTGTGCCCACCACATATATCAAAATCGGGTATTTAGTGTTATAAGCCTTCAGACTTACTGCTGAGCCACTGGGAGGGAGGCGACATAATTAGATATTATTCCTTATAAGAATGCTCCTTTATAAATATCTAGATATGTAAGATATATTTTTCACATAATAATGAATTAATGACGAAACCTCTTAATATAAATTTGATTCTGTTGCTTTCATTTTTATGAAATAATTTGTTGTTGCTGTTATTAATGAGAATTTACAATTTATCGAGCTATCGATAATTTTTAATAAACCGTTGGGAGGCATGTTTACTTTGCACTTTCACGTAAGAGATTTACAACACTGTAGCACCATTAATGTTCGTCTAATTTAGAGAAACCATGTGATATTTTTTAGTTTTCAAGCTATCAAAATAGGTAACAGCACAGAAGAGTATATGCCTGCATTAAACAATTTATTGTTATCACTCCAAACCAATTGGACGTATAATGACGTTATTGAAAATAAGTGTAATTTTGCAGCTAGATTGCTAAGAAAACAGAAAAGGGTGTAATTATAAAAAAGGACGCTCTTTTCATTCTTAAAATTTAAGATTACTGAATATGGGAAAAATTGATTTTGATATTCAAAAACGTTTGTTAAGACAATCAGTTATCAAAATTTGGCTAAAACCAAAAGGTAACTTAAAGAGTATATCTTATTTTACTGGTCGAAATCTAACTACTGAACAAGAAATCTACGACACCCTCTCAAGTAATATATTTTACCTTTACAGTTTGATATCATTAATAAACGAACAAAAACTAAACATAATTTTCGCGGAAAACTATATTTTCTCGCGGAATACAAAGTTCACTGCTAAAGGCTTAACGTAGAAGCAAACCAACAATAAAATGAACAAATATGTAACCTCAAATAGGAAATTACTCCAGGAACAAGTCTTAAGGTTAACATGCCATATGTGGCTAAAGTTAGCCTCGAAATTAATCTGTTAACAGCAAGAACTTCCAGTGTAATTATGTACAAACTTCAAGGGGTGTTTTAGTGTAGTAATATAAAAAGATCAAAGGGAATTTTCACCTATATAATATTACGACACACGAATATACCAGAACACGTATATGTATTAATATTGAAAATAGCTATTAAGATAACCTCTAGTTTTATTTATCAACAAATATAATTTTAGCCTTCTGTTTCTGTGTGATTCAAGTATACTAAAAATTAAATCAAGAACTCATTGTTTTTTAGTCATAGATAAAATTGTAGTAACTATACAAGCAACAAATCTGGCAATGAGTTGTAACGACATGCTAATAAAAAACACAACGACTCCGTTTGAACTTTAATATCAAAACCACTTTGAATAGAAACCGAATACAATAAGGATAAATTAGATCTGAACATTTCACAAAAGATACTTTTCTAGAGAGATTGATATTTACATTTATCTAATAAATACAATTTTGAAACATCGTGAACCTATAAAACCTAAATTTGGCTAGCCACTAACAACAAACTAAGCATGGCGACTTTTTTTTTTAAGTGTGAAACAGTATGACGTAACGATGTTTTTTACATATAATTGGGTATATATTTATATTTCAGATTCGGAACTGCCATTTTCACACAGACAATAACATAATTAATCAACTAGCAGACTAACGGACAGGTGATTGAAAAAAAAAGCAATGCTGAGGTTGACTGAATGTACAAAAACCCGTTGATATACCTCGGGCCAAACCAATTCAAAGAAAACAATTAGTTTATCAAGATTTCAAATTAGAAAGACTACACTGAAACTCGCATTTCTTCAGAGTGATGGTGAGAAAGCTGTGAAGAAGACATGAACTGCATATGAGCCCCTCCCCCTCCATTTCACTATTAATAGTATTATAATATACCATAACGAGTATGGACTTGTTATACAGTTTTGGCTAAAATGTTTGTATACTGTTGTATATTGATGTTATTCTCTATGTGCATGGAGTAGTTTCTGAGTAAATGCCCATGCAGTAAAAGGGTGTGCTTTTGGTATAATCTTTTTTCGAAACAGATCAACGCTTTGTTCAGACAACTTCTCTGTACTTGGTGTAGAGTCATGCTTCGTCACGTGCTAGAAATTATAGGGCGTCAAATTGATCGACTGTCCAGAAATGTTACGAAGTAAACCGACATTGTGCCAAAGCAGTAGGGATTCCCAGTGTACTGTATCCAGAATCCCGAAACGTCATCGGAGTACAGAAAACATTTTTCCAGGAAAGTCTACTAATAGACGCCGAAAACTATTGCCCCGAGATGACCGTGTTTTTATTATGTTAACATGTCAAGGTCGAAGGATGTCTTGCAACACCTTATGACAGGAATGGCGTGAACATATTCATTCCAGTGTATCCAGTAAATGGGAGACTGGCCAAACTAAGTTATTTTTCATAAAGGGTTATCTTCAAACCGATATTAACCAGAATTCCATGCTGTCACCGAGTTACTTGAACAAGACACTATGCCAACTTACAGTTAGGACACTAATGACATGTCATCTTTGCAGATGAATCCTATTTTCGGCTTGTTAAAGCTGATGGAAGGATTCGTGTTCGTCGTTTTTCTGGAGAATAGATGAGGGAAGACTGTCTTTCCCACAGAGAACACACACAGAAGGTGGTGCAGTGCATGTTTGGGCAGCTATTTATTATGATGGAAAACTGCTCTTCATACTCTCTAGGGAAACCAATGGCGCCTCCTACAGGTATCACATGGAGATAATTTTATGCCAGATGCTTGGGCAAGGTTTGGCAATAACTTCGTGCTCCAGGATGACAATGCCACTGCCCATAGTACGCGTATTGTACAGTATTATCTCGACCAGGGGGACGTTACAAGATTGCCATGGCCAGTAAATTCTCCAGATTTTAATCCCATTGAGAACTGCTGGGTAGAACTGAGCTGGAAAATTGCTAACCACGACCCTAAACCAGCTACTGTGGCTGAGTTGCAGCGCATTCTAGTGACAAGTTGGGAAGAAATCACGGTGTATTACACCAATAACTTCATCGACAGCATGCCACGTCGCCTTACAGAGGTTATTAGAGTGTGAGGAGGACCAACCAAATACTGAATGTTTAATACGAACTGACGTTACTTATAATAATTTGATGCTATATTTTGTCGTTATAGATGTTTCGGTAAGGTTTTGTGGTGACAGGTGAAATGCTGAATTATACACTTTTCTACAGGTGTTTGGTAAAATTATTTGCTGTTCTAATATATCGTTCATGATGTCCATAGAACCTATCTCATTATACAAATTACATATATAGATGTTAAATATAACACACATTTCTCAGTTTGACAGCGTTAAATGTATTTGTATTCCATCTTAATAATAATGATTTTAGTTGTTACAAAATATTGAAACATTTTGGCCAAGACTGTATGACAAACATCTCCAGGCTTGATCACTTATTAGTGATGAAAATGTTTAACTTTATGCTTGGTCATGAATGAGAAAGAATATAATATGATAAGTCGTGTGGTACAAATATAGAGTATACCATGATTACTAGTGTCGTACAGATATAGAGTATACCATGATGAGTAATGTGGGCAATAAAGTATACCATGACCAACATGTGGTACAGATATAGAGTATACCATGATTAGTCGTGTGGCACAGATACAGAGCACAGCATGGTTAGTAGTGTGGGTAATAGAGAATACCATAACCAACATGTGTTACAGATATATAAAATATACCACTATTAGTAGTGTGGTATAGATTTAGAGTATACCACGTGGTACAGATATTTCCTTATCAAGATCATCATGCCGCCATAACACTAACAGCCAAGAGCTATCATGTTCGGCTACAGTCGAAAATATGACAGATAATAATAATAATATAAAGTAGCTCGACAAATAAATGCAACCAAAGAAACATTAAACGTACATTAGAATGCATTAGGTCCAAATGTGGTAAAAAAGGCTTATATTTCAGTATTAACGTAAGTGAAGATCCGACAATGTACACTTACCCTTGTCAGTTGTCGGACAAAGAACTGGCCCAGCCCAGGAAGCAGCCCTATGGTCCAACTACGTTACTGTATTTGTAATATCAAGCATTTGTAAGCTCACTAAACAATCATCAAACTACCGATGGTGGCAGCACTGCTTGTCTAAGTAGATTTCTTAGTTGTAGACTGATGGCTAAACCCTTGTATAAATAGGAAGAACGTTTTATCAATAGGTAGGTGCATACGGCAATGAGGTGCTTTAGACAAACACAGTCCTTACATAGTGCTGCCTGTTAGTGTAACGCTCTTGTCTGGAGGCGCGCGCGTAGAAGAAACCAATTTGTTGTCGATCGTAAACTGTACCTTGCATTGCTCATTTGGTGCTGCCATCTAGTACACATAATATGATATATATCGTGGAAATTTAAACCTTTTTTCTTCGAGTTCGTCACTGAATACAATGTTTGAATATCTCTTACTAAACATATTAAACATAAGAGACATTCATACATTGTACACAAAATTACAAACTTCATGTACAGTTTTGCGACAGTAAATACAGAACATCGGGAAAACGTTTAGGCTTAGTAAACAAATTAGAAAAAAACTATGCAATTATATTATACAAGTTGATGCACCCGTCTTTTGTCCTGGTTATGAACTTTAAAAATGTGGAGCGGATGCTATGATAAATAACACAAAACTCCTTAATTTCACACAATTTATTTATAACATAACATATTATTACAGTATTCATTATCACTTCACCAAAAGTTTTGTATAAAGTTTAAGAACTCAATATGTATATACTTAAAATATGGTGTACACTCTTCAATGGTCAGGGTGACTTTGTATTAAGAAATAGCGGCCAAAGTAATGGCGGTAGGGGTGCTTTATGTTACCCGCTTTCAACACCCAACTCTTAACGCCCTTCCACAGTGTTTCACGTGATTAATTAATTGACGGTCGTTGGCCGAAAGTATGTTACGGGCCGAAGTTGAAAGGTCACGGGTCAATGTGGGAAATGGGTATAACTCAAGAAACGGCTCTTCATATCAGCCTTATGGTGGCTGTTGGAGTAAAAACGTATTATTGCAATAGTGGCGGCCAAGTTTGGTTGAGATTGACTCAGCGACCTAGGAGTAGTTAGAAAACGGACAAACAGATAGACACAGATTTTATTGTGCTTTATATATAGAGATAAAAACGCCAGTGCTGGTGTAATCTTAAACAGAAGCTTATACATGCTTATACACAACGCTTATACATGCGTATTTTTATGAAAGTTAGTAAATTTCCATTGTTTAAGTGCATTTTGTTTCTGAAAAAATTTGACTCTCCTTTAGAAATCGTAGAAGAGTTTAAAGGTTTTACGCTCCTTGATTAGTTTTGTTTTCAGTTTTGTTAAATAGTTTATTTTAGTGATAGTATAAGCTTATATTAATGCAACCCTTTGGAGAAAAAAAACAGTTTATAGATCGCTCTCCTTAATTTATTAATTTGGTGGTAGGTGAATACTTTTCATAAAGATGAAATTATAATAAAAATATGAAAGTGTCTTGACTCTCTTTTACTTGTAAAATCTTGACTGACCACTTTATTTAAATCCACATATACATTTTGAAGAAAAAACTTATTTGTATGCAAAATAAACGAATCTTTTTATGTATCTTGGTGACTGAACCGTATAAATGCGGATAAGAACTAACCGTATAAAAACTAGTCATATTATGGCTAGTTTGTAAGACAATTGGTAAGATCAATGGTTTCTCAATTTTCAAAGGTAAATGCTATTCAGTCCCTGGTTAGCAACAGCATTGTTATCAAAACTGATCTTGACCGACTGATCAAAGATGTCTGACAAAAGAGCTTACCAACAATAGTTACCACTAGCGAAATCAGTTGCTTGTTAACAAAAAAACAACTGGATAAGCATTTAAAGAAGAGGACGGCATTTTCAACTGCATCTAGCGAAGATTTTTTTAGTTGAAAACCACTAATCTTAAGAACAAACAGGGAATAATGGTACCAATGGTGCTTTGAGCACAAGCTGTAGTCACTGAATAATTTGAAGTGAGTAATCTGGCTTGATGCATTGCATTTCACCCTGTTTTATATTGACGATAGATGTAAAAATATCGAAAAATTCATACCAGGCATACAAGTTATTGTCATCGTTTTAGCGCACAGCTACTTAATGGGCTAGCTGCAATATGTCCACCGCGGGAAATTGAACTCCGGATTTTGGCGATTTAATTCTGTAAATCTACCTCTGGCTCACCAGGAGACTTTTTTTTTTAACAAAGACTAGGCTTTTTTTTTATCCCACAACATTTAAAGTGTACATGGACGTTCGTTTGTTTGCGGCCATTTCCATCCCATAATACTGCATTTATACCCTGTTAGACAAGGTCTCCTCACCAAAAAAATACAAGATTCCACCAAACTCGTATCGTCTGTAATAGGTTTACAGAACATAACAATGACTTCAGAAATATTCTATAGACAGCACAATCACTGGAGCCCAATCACAGGGAATATCTTTTGGGGTGAACATAAACGTCACATTCATCACCTTAATCCTCTGCCAACACCTGCGAATCAATTACAGTCCATACTTCTGGACAAATGGACCATTTAACGAAGAATACATTTTCCGGCATCTGTGATTTCTAAGTCACGATGAATTCGTGATATTATCGCGCTGAAAAATGGCCTAACCCAGTTCTAGGTTAGTGGGTCCCAATAAAAAAAAAGTGGCCAATTAGTGTAGAGTAGTGTTGGGCAACCTCCATCTAACGATTTTATTTTTTGTAACGTTTTAAACTAAGTGGTTAGTTTATTCTATAAATGTACTAGAAAAGTGTTAATAAAACAGATTAGACTTTTTTACTGTTTTTTTCTTTTGCCAGTTAACATTAGAGTTAAAGTTTCAGTAAGTGTTTTTTGCTGGTTAATAATACAGTTAAAGTTTCAGTAAGTTTTTTATTTTTTGCTAGTTAACATTACGGTTAAAGTTTCAGTAAGTTTTTTTTTTTTGCTAGTTAACATTACAGTTTGTTTGTTTGTTTTGGAATTTCGCGCAAAGCTACACGAGGGCTATCTGCGCTAGCCGTCCCTAATTTAGCAGTGTAAGACTAGAGGGAAGGCAGCTAGTCATCACCACCCACCGCCAACTCTTGGGCTACTCTTTTACCAACAACATTACAGTTAAACTTTCAGTAAGTTTATTTACTTAAATATTAGATAGTTGCCAATATGAATGGCGCTTGGTCTGTGACTAGTAGATCTAAGCAGTAAACACATTTTAAAAGTGGTTTTTAAAATCATTTTTTTGCTTATTTTTATCTAATATGCTAGGTGCCGGGACTATGAATCTGAGGATTCAGGTTCCTGACTTGTTACCAAAAATGCAAGCTTTGCACTTAGGAGTCATTAGTTGAACTTCAATCTAAATGGCGGTGGTACTGTTGATTAACTGTCTTTCCTCTAGCCTATCAGTTCAAAATTAGAAGCAACTATGCACTGATAGCTTTGTAGCTTTGCACGAAATTTTGAAAAAACATGTAAACAATCAAGTATGTAAGTATGTAAGATGAAGATAGCCCGAAGTATCTCTTCGCAGTTAATATTTACATTAGAAAGAAATATAAATTAAGGCTACGTCATGCTAGACTTACACCTCATCATTATTTTTAAGTTACTACAGCATTAAAAGGGTATTTACGTAAAATGCTCTCTGAAAAATTTTAAACTGATGTAAATGTTAAGAATACAACTGGAACTGTTCGCATTGTGTAGAACTTCTACACTAACGAATAAAGAGAAAGAGTATTCAACTTATTAATACTATTATAATTACCTACATGGCCATGGCGTGAAAGGGGTCAGAGTAAGTACGTTGATAATCTAGCGAAACTCTGATCCCCTTGTAGTAATTAAACTAATATTATCTTGTAATCATCCACTATGCACAAGAGGGAGCTGTATAGCTTCCAATTTGGCCGCCAATTTTCATTTCATTCCTTTAAGTCGCACATTCAATCCTTTTTTGGTCGCACATTGTTTTCACACCTAAGGTGTTTTTGATTAGATATTGCTTTGTGTAAACATTTGAAATAAACCAAATCCTTGCATCTTCATCTTGTGTTGTTAGTAAAAACATATCTTCTTTACACCATGTATCAGCGTCTTAAATGGAGATGATAGTCATCTTATTTTCAGAAAACTATCTTAAAATGAGTTCTTTCTCGGCTTTAAACAACATTAGCAATAGCAAAAACCTGAAAAACACATCTTAATAAACTATTGAGTCATCTTCGGTTTGGTTTGCTTGTTGAATTTCACGCAAAGTTACACGAGGGCTAACTGTCCCTAATTTTTCAGTGAAAAACTAGAGGGAAGGCAGCTATTCATCGCCACTCACTTCCAACTCTTGGGCTACTCTTTTACCAACGAATAGTGGGACTGACCGTCACATTATAACGCCCTACAGCTGAAAGGGCGAGCATGTCTGGTGTGACGGGGGTTCGAACCCGCGACCGTCAGATTGCGAATCGAGCACACTAAGCACCTGGTCATTCCAGGCCACAAGAGAGAGGGAAGAAGTCAAATGTACCTGACCCTAAATCCCGATACAGAAAATGGAGAGAGTATGGTCGTATGCCATTTATAAAAATTCTATACTCCCCCTCCCCCATCACACACACACAACAAAAAACTTGTAAACTTATCATGCTTTAAATATATAAAAATTGGCATTTGTAATTGTTGGAACTGTTTTAATAATAACTAATGTTACAACTGTTACTTCGAATAAAAAAGGGTTGTAAACTCAATACTTATGTAAAATTTAATATTTCTATACCAGTTCTTGTTTTATATAATTGATTCATCTTTCCCGCTCTGTACGAAGCAGCTCCAGCTGTTAAGTTAAATGTCAAATAATTTTGTATTGCTCACTTTGACTTTGAATATAAATCACTTTTAAGATGTAGGCATTTATCATAAGAATATTAAATTTACTTCTTACACGTACCAAAGTCTACTTTGTACTTAATAACTACCGCATTTCAATGAGTTTTAGGACTATAATCTTATTTTTTGTTATCAAAACAACCAATAGTGTGGTCTCCACTTGACTAAAACTGTCAATCAAGAGTGTCAAAAAATTAGATATAAAGAAAAAGGTACAGTTATCTGTGGGTTTGTAAGCTTTCCTATAACCAACAATGTTTCTGAAAATAATAATTAAATACGTTAGTATGAAGTGTTATTATGAGCATTTTAG